ACAATGACAAAAGAGTTCGAAATGAGCATGGTTGGAGAGCTGAACTACTTCCTGGGATTTTGGATCAAGCAGACAGATGATGGTATCTTCATATCTTAGAGCACATATGCTAGGAACCTTGTCAACCGGTTCGGTTTGGACTCCAGTAAAGTGGCCAGGACGCCTATGGGTACAAACTGCAAATTATCCAAGGATACTCAAGGGGAGGATGTAGACACAAAGCTGTATAGAAGTATGATTGAGAGTCTGCTATACCTAACTGCAAGTCGACCAGACCTCAGTCTCAGTGTAAGAATCTGTGCAAGATATCAGGCAATACCCAAGGTATCCCACATGCAAGCTGTCAAACGAATCATCAAGTATGTCAAGGGGACGATCAATATGGGACTGCTTTACACTGTTGAGACAAATCAGAACTTGACTGGATATTGTGATGCGGACTGGGCTGGATGTCTAGATGATCGAAGGAGCACGAGTGGTGGATGTTTCTTCCTTGGGAACAATCTGATCTCGTGGCATAGCAAGAAACAGAACAGCGTGTCACTATCAACTACCGAGGCTGAGTACATTGCTCTCGGAAGTGGATACGCACAACTCCTATGGATGAAACAAATGACAGCAGACTATGGTATGTAATCTAAATCTCTTCTGATTCATTTTGATAATGAGAGTGTGATTAACATTGCAAAGAATCCTGTACAACACTCGCGAACTAAGCATATAGACATCAGGCATCATTTCATACGCGAGTTAGTTGAGGAGAAACTGATCGAAATCACACATGTCAGTATTGAATATCAACTAGCAGATATCAATAGATTCATTAATCTTCGAAAGTCCATTGGTGTATGTGAGAACTAATGATGTGTGTGAGTGTATGTGATCTTGGACAGGAATGCATGCAGGGACAGGCTCAGAAGTGACAGTAAAAATTTTAAAATAACTCTCTGTATATGTAGTGTCCAGTGGAAGAAGGCTGTCTGGGGTGCTGTCTCTAGACAATGAGTACAAGTTGCACTAATGTATGAGCTGACATACGAACTGGAGAGTGTGTGAGTCCTCAGCTGATCCATCAACGGAGTAAAAAAAAAAATGGGGATACTGCTGATGATTGCTGATAAGGGACAAGAACATACCGACACTTCATCATCCTATGTTGAACCTGAGATGTCAATCAGTGATGGTAAAACACATAAGAAGGTCAGCTCTCTGATAAGGTTTTGGGCTGTCAGCTCATCATATGCCAGGGTTGAAAACTAAGAGACCATGGGATAAAGGTATTCATGTATGAAAAATCAGCCACTGGGTCCAGAGAGTGCTATTTGGTCTACCTTGGCTTGTCTCTGTGTTGCGTTCTGGATCATCAGAAAGATGTCCAACCAAAGTCACACCATCAAAAGTATGCTTATTCATGATATATAGTGTTGGAATTTGATCAAGGTCCCTCATAATTCATACTGATTTTGATTCTGTTGGATATGTTTAAAACTGGAGTTAGCACTTTTGTTATCTGATGCGTCAGTTGAGTAGATCAACACCCAGAATCGTGTCTTTGTTCATCTGACGGGTTGTTTTGAGTTGTTCACTATGTCCAGGTTCAGAGCCCATTTGAAATACGGCCCAATCAAATGTCTCATGGAGGAAAAATGCCTATTTAGGGTTATCTCGGGGAGCGCCAAACGTCACTTCACCACTCAATCGCTCTCTTTCCTCTCGTTCTCAACTGTTCAAATTCTAACCCCTCTGCAGATCGCGATAATGAAGGTCTTGTTCTCTGGCTTATCTCGTCTTGTTGGTACCCCTACTCTGCAACCGATCACGCCTGAGCACCTGCTTCCTTTGCTCGGCGACGGTCCGATGGAGCATGCAAATCCCGATGCCTTGGCTATCGTACCATATGTTGGTCCTGCTTCGGTTGTCAATGAAACCGCTCCGCCGCCTGTTCCGACAATGCACGGTGCTCACTATGTGGCTGGCTCCGCAAACTCAGCCCCTTCATCGCCAGTTAGGAGCAGATCTTCGTCAGTAGAGTTTGTGTCTGCATCAGCTAAACCGCCTCTCTCATCCTCGGCTTGGGGAACTCGCCGTAGCAAGCGACATGTAAAAATCGAGTTATATGCGTCGGAGCCTCCTAAGAAGAAGAGCCGTCATGCCAAGTTGAAGTCTTCCTCGGTGCCTGAATTCGATGTTGGTCGCTTCATCTCCCAACGAGTAAGCGATCGATTTGATCTGTTTCTGAATCGCAACTTTTTGGTCGAGCATGAGGTGGATCTTAAGTCGCTCCCTGTTGGTGTTGAGGATAACATTCGTGAGGTTGGCCTCATTTCCACCATTTCCGGCATCAACCGCTTTCCTCCAACGGTCATCAGGGAGTTTTGGGCTCATCTTCCTGACGAAAAGATCAATTCTGATGAGATTCGCTTGGTGCTTCGGGGTCATGAGTATGTTTTCTCCCCACGCATGATCAATCGGCTATTTGGACTTGAGGAAATAGCTACTGCTAGTGCTGCTCTTGATGCTGAACTTCTCTCTGATGATCAACTCGCTCTCTTCATGAGTGGTGGTAGGCACGGTGTATGGGAGACTCTGACTCTGGCTCAGTATCAGAGTGACAAGTGGGCGTTGTTCAAGATCATCTGTCACAACTGGCTTCCCACTTTCAACACTGGTTTTTCCAACAAAGCCCGTGCTCGGATGGTTCATCGAGTGGCAACCAAGACTCCGTTTGACTTCGGCTCTATGGTGTTCGATCACATTCTCAGTCTCGGTCGCAATCCTGGTACAAAGTTTCTCCTTCCGTATCTAAGCCTGATCTACAAGCTCCTGCAGCAGCAATGCCCTGTGCCTCTCGAACCAGCCAATCGCATGGAAGTCATTCAGCCATTCTGTATTGGGGAAGCCCCGGTCTTGATCAAGGCAGAACCCAAGCAGGATCAATGTTCAACTCCCGTGGGCTTACCTCTCTCCTCGGCTGATCGGCGAGTTCTTACTCAGGCTGTCTTCATCATCAATCGTATTTTACAAGGTAAGTACCCCTTCTCCTGGATTTGTTACTTAGTGTCCCTTGATTTTTGACTTAGTTATGCACTTAAGCAGGGGGAGATATAGCAGAGGAGGTCTCTCCAAGTGTGGGGGGAGCAACCGTGATGGGGGAGTCTAGACTATTTTAGACTATTTTTAGTTTTTTAAGTAGACTCAGGCTCAGGCCGCTGTGCTTTCCTTAATTTTAAGACTTTTGGTTGTTTTTTATGAGCGCATTGGACTTTTAAGTTGCTCTTGGTTCTTGAGTGCGGGCCTGTATTCTTAAGTACTTTTTGGTTCTCTTAAGTTTTGCCTGAGCAGTTTATTGCAAGTGTGTTTGGATTCTTGCCTTGTGTGTGCGGTTGCTTGTCTGACTTTGCAGGTTAATTGATACGAGTGCTGAAGTGACAACCCAAGTCAAAAAGGGGGAGATTGAAGATGTAAGTGACATCAGGAAGCAACTCAAGAGGGACTGCAGGATGCTCGTAGCTGAGGATGCTCGTAGCTGACGTGGAACTCAGCGGTTAGTGATTTAAGAAGGAAGTCTCGAATATATCTTGAGTATATTCGAGAATCTAGGAAAAGGAAAAACTTGTTATAAAAAGATATGCAACTAGATTCTAAGGTTAGACTCTTGGGTATGTTGTATAAATAGGAAGTCGGGCAAAGTGTGGTCTGTACACTTTGCGCCGCAAGCATTAGAATCATCCTTGAGCTTCCATAGCAATTAAGAAGCAAGAAGGTTAGTGTCCTCTTCTCTGATACACAAGTTGTGTGATCGTGTGAAGAGTGGTTTTTAGAACTATGAATCTTTGGGGATAATTTAGGTTAAAGTTGCATAATACCAAACAATTGTAATAAGTTGATTAAATTGTTGATTCTAGTTTAATAAAACAAGCGTTTGACTTGACACTTTCCAAGTATTTGTTGCTGCTTGTATTCCACACTTTCAGATGTAATATTTTTATTATTTAAACTAAATAGAAGCCTCACAAAATTAGCAACAAGCAATACTCAATGAAACATTTGGTTGAGCCGACCCATCTTTGAGACAGAATGGAGAATACCAACCAACACAAATCCGGCTACGGCTCCAACAAGGAAGAACCTGATATCCAGTTAACAACTCGTTTTGGGGTTGTGGCCCTTGGCGGTTTCAGGATGTTTTCGAATCTTCCAGCTTGAGATAGGCTTTCCCAAAGGAACTTTTCACGTAGAGGGCCAAACAGCTGTCCTGCTGGTGCGTCTTTCGGCTGTACTAAGATAATATTGTAACATGACAAGTGGTGTAAAGTGCAGACAAACTCATAGTTGTGCGTTGAGATGTCTTCCAGTATTATCATCAGATTTGCTGGTGCACGGTTGTCAATTGCCCAGCAAAACAAGTCGATCAAAAACTTGTGAAGCCTCGCATCTTTATCTCCTGCTGGTCTGTGATTCAACACGATCTCCGGTGATCTACGCTCTGCCTGGATCTTGTCCGCATAGATGTATGCCGTTCCACGATAATCCATCTCCTCAATCTCAGTTTCTTCACTTGGCTTTTTCAGTGTTTCCATGATTGCTTCTGTTCCAAGGCGACTCAGGAGCTGCTCCTTATCACCATAAGCGTAGATGGTCGCCGTACCAAGACACTTCTTTTCCTTAAGAGCCGACGTAATCCTCCGCGATACATCAATAACACTGCCATCTTCAGTGACTTGGCAACCATCCATGTCCCAGAAGACGGCTGTCTTTATTGCACTTCCGAAATGCTTCGAATAATCTTCCATAGAGATAAATTAGGGTTACGCGTCTGAACGAAGAGAATCTACCTTTGACCTAAATTATCATAGGGATACCAACATACAAGACAATGGGCTTTTCTTTACGTGTTAATTAAACCTAGGCTTTTCTTACGTGTTAATTAAACCTAGATGTATCTTAAGTAAGTCTAAGGAGATATTTTTAGATGAGACAAGAACCCGAGTGTAGATCAGTTGCGAGTGAAAGTTACTTCTTGAAGAAGAAGAAGAGGTTTAGATTTATGAGAATGTACAATAGAAAATAAGAGTTTGGGAACCAATCCAAAAGCCAAATGCAGATTAAAAAAAAAAAAGCAAGTAGAAATGGACTTCCCTCCACAATTATGGTTATTATAATAACTTACTACTACTCTAAAAACATTATATACATTCAGATAAAAGTTCAGCAGAACCGGTTTCGGCTTTTTGTAAAAAAGCTCTTCTTCTTCTTTCTTCTTGCTTCACTTTACGTGGCAATCATAAGGAGAAGAAGCAAACACTTGATCTGGAACCACTAGAGGAAGCTTATCTATGTACACAAACAGCCTCTTTTTATTCTCCCTCTCGACTGTATAGAGACTCACCGTATCTGATCTCTCCATCAACATCCACAAGTCCCCTGAGTTTACTCTCTTGAGACTGTCCCGGCAAAAAGGGCATGATTCTGACCTCCCATGCCTGCAAGAAAACATCGATTCTCATACGGATAACAAAGATGCAAGAAGAAGAAGATATCCGACTTTTATTTACCAGTCGCGGTAACACTTGATGCATAAAGAATGGGTACAATTGGGGAGAACAACCATGCTGTTCATCTCCATACATATCCCACATTCTTCGTCTCTCTCCATGTCAATCTCCGAGAGCTTGACCTTTTCGATCTCATCTTTGTTTCTGTACCGTATCTTGCAGACCTCTTTCTGTTTCCGGTCATCCACGTCTGTGATACCCCTTTCAAGTTGTAACAGCGACGGAAATATCACAGCTGTTTCACAGATACGAGCAAGAACCATAAGCATCAAGGATATCAAATTTTCTTGAATCTGCGCCAAAATTCACCTAAAAAAAGCATTACCATAGAAATCTTTAATGCTTGTTTTCCTCTCGTAAACCGACATTGTGGTCTTCCCATCTGCATAGGTCTGATACAGTTGAAAATGCAAAATGATTAATCAAACAATCACAAGAAGTTAAGAATCACTCTAAAGATGCAGACGAAGGTTGTACCATGTAAATGAGAACTCTGAGCAAACCGAGAGCACCGGCGAGGTGGCAATCAGTCCACTGAACAAGAAAAAGCAAAAACTGAGCAGCCGGGTTGTAAGATAGTCTCATTTGAACACGTGCTCCATCCTTCTCCCGAGGATAATCTAAAGCTCTGTTTCGTCATTGAGAACATTGTTCATAAGCACCACAACAGCATGACTTGATAAAAAGCACACAGGTAACTAAATTCTCCATTCAAGTATTGATCGAATCAAACATCAGACAAACATTACAACAACATAACCGATTGATCAATGCACTCATCCAAACATTCGCCACTCAGAACATGGAATTGTCTAACTCAGCTAGATTACCATTAGGAATCAAATGAAAAAGGTTGCAGCTTTAACATAGCAACACACTGAAACCACTCAAGACTTTGATTCAGGGCAAACATCGAATTATGCATCCTATGGTGTTATAAGTTGATTTAACATTAGCAGCAGAACCAATTGATCAAGAAACTCACTAAAACCATTCACCTTTTAAGACATGGAGCTGTCTAACTCAGCTAGATTACCATTAGGAATCAAATGAGATAAAGGGGATCAGACTTGAAATAGCAACACAATAATTATTACTTGATCATGGCAGACAAACCCAATTTTCTCTCAGACACTAACATCGCTAGCCAAAGACCTTGTTCAACTTCGAGGGTCAACACTCAACTTGTTTTAAGACAAGGACTCAATAAAAAAAATGACATCATTACCCACTTCGTTGGATTATATCATCTACATGGGTTGTTAACTTCTCCTTGGTCCTCATTATATCTTGACTGTTTAAGACCAGATTAAACCCTAATTCGGTGACAAAAACAATCCGTACAATTTCCGAAATCTTCTGTACAGAATCTAGACTAGAAGAAGAATAATTTCAAACAAAAAACCACTTGTGGTCCTAGAGAAAATCAAAGAAACAGAACCAGAAAGCTCAGTAAGAAGATGAATCTTCACATACTTTAACTACAAGCAGAAAGAGGATATTTTCCACCAAGAAGAAAAATCAGAACTTTGGATTACGAAAGCAGAGAAAATTCCAAAAACTACAAAGGGAAAATTGAGAGGCTTACACAGTGTTAGCGTGTTGGATATCGGCTTCGAGAGCTTTCAGGGAATCCTTAAACGAAATTTTAGCCATGGAGCGTCGATTTCCAGAACAAAACAATTCTCATCAAACGAACGGAGAACTCAGCAAGTGATAAAATCAAAAGTGTACGAGAAGAGAAAGACGAAGAAGAAGAAGATAGAAGCAAACAAAAAGTTCGATGCTTTTTCCGCCCAAATCCGATGATGATCAATGCTGCAGAAATGAGAGAGAGAGGTGATGGGTATTTTGGTAAATTATATTTCGTGATAAACCTCTTTAGCTCTTTCGGTTACGATTCTCGAAGTAGCTTTATCAAGAAAAGACGCGGAGTGGGTTTCGAGATTGACCCTTTTGCCCTTGTTCGGCTTTGGTATAGAGATACAAAAATCTAAGCATCCATTTAGTGGGGTGTGATCCTCTGTTTACGGCATAGCTATACCTTCGCCTGGATATGCAATAGAATTTTAACACGTGGATGGATAAGACTAAAGGCTAAATATCTGCTGCTCTTGATTAAGGCGTTTAAAAATATCTTCTTTTTTTTTGCCATTAAAAAATATCATTTGTCATCCACTTTCATTATGAAAAGTCAATACCACTTGTAGTTTATAGAATACCATTAAATGTATTACTATCAAACAGATTGGGGAAAGAAACAAATCAAATCATATAAAAACAATAAATGAAAATTTTGCTTCATACAGTCATTTCACCAAAAGTAGTAGGAGTTGATAATCCAATTAGATTATACATGTAGCTAAAGGAATCTTTGAAAAATCAGTAGAATACTACGATTCATATATATATATATAAAAAATGAAACCTTCACGATTTAAATATTATTAGCTTTGTATTATAATAAAAATCTGTGTATAATTTAAAAGTAGTGTAGAAATAATTAAGTTGCTTGGTATGCAAACAAATAAAAAGAAAAGGAGCTTCTGAGCAAAGTCAAAGAAGAGAAAAGATGCTCCACATTTGTTTTTGAATTGGTGATAATCAAAATTATATATCAGTGTTTAACACAGAGTTAATTATTAGAAAGAAGTAAAAAAATGCCACTCAAAACAGATGACAAAACTATGTGTCAAAATAGAATCATAACTATTATTTTTAATAAAAAAATCTGATATGTCATCACTTTACAAAAGTTAGTGCAAAACAATGCTACATCATAAATATGACATGACAAATTTCTTAAAATAAACGAAATGTTTTGATTGGTTAAGTTAAAACTAAATAAATCTCATTTTTAAATAAGAAAAGTTTATATCATATATGAATGAATTCTCATTATATAGTAACAATTCAAAATTATAAATAAAATAAAAAAATAAATAGATAAAAAATAAATTATAAGTATCTTGTTAGCTAACTTTTTTTATTATAATTTTGTATATATGAATAAAAAGTAGAAGTAAAAGTAAAAATAAATATTTACGACTTTAGTTTTATGTAAAAATTTCAGACTATATTTTTGGTTTAAAATCTTCAACGCGCATTTATTTTAAATCTTCTAATTTAGAGGAAAAATGGTTGTTATTTTTTCCTCCAATTGTAGAGGAAAAAATAACAGATTTTTTCCTGTAAAATAGAAATAGGTTAGAGAGAAGTCCACTTATATTTTAGAGGAGAAAATAGAAATACACATTGAAGATGATCTTAATTTTAAATATATAATGAAATGTTAAGAAAAAAAAGTATGAGTCAAAGAAGACAAAAATAATAAATACGAATAATTTTGATCAATTTTAAGTTTTCATTTGAAATATTTTAAAATATTATCTAACACTTATTAATTATTTAATTCATAGGTTTTTTCTAACATATTAAAACATTATTTCATGAAACAAGTTTTGTAAATATTGTGATCTATTAAATTTTATATTAACATATATATTAAAGTTAGAAACAGGTCAACTCTTAATTTTTAATAATAATCAAATATTAAGTATATTATTTTATTTCTTAAAGCATACACATATAAGTTTAGATCCGATTGATTTAAAGGATTCGATTACAGAGAGTTTTGTGGAAGCGAGAGAATTGCGGATTATAAAAAAATTGACGAAGAAATAAGCGGAGAGCTACCAAAGAATTTTATAAAATATAATTTCACAAATTTTATAATAAATTTTTATTATATTTTTATTAAGAAACTATATATTATCAAACGCTGAAAATAAGAAACTTTGATTAAATACAAAATGATAGAAACGATTTTGTGATTGTTGTTAAACGTCAATAACTGCATCGTGTAAAAACATAACGTTTGTGTAAATACCAGAAAAAACTTACCAATTCACTCACAAAAAAAAAACTTACCAATACCAGAAAAATACCAGAAAATACTTAAATATTATAATTCACTTATCTCTAACTCATACCTACATGCATAAATATACTTATTATTATTATTTTTTAAAAAGCAACCATACATTATAAAAATATGTATTAGAAAACATATATTTTGTTATTTTATTTTAACACATAAAAGCCATACTTCGATTTTTTATAGATATACGTGTAAATATAAATATTAATTGTGCAAATGTCAAACTCGATTGCAAACTTGTCGTGCATAGATCTTGTTAACCTCGATTAGACTATAATTATAATTTTAGTTGTTAGACAATTTATACTTTAAAAAATCTTTATACGTCCTAAGAGCAGTGAGGTGGTTGGTACGCACGAATGTGCGGGCCAACCATCTATCCGCTCTTAGAATAAATAAATATGATAAAATTCATTTTGATTTAGTTAGCAGTAGGTCAAGGAAAAATGTATACTTAAAAAAAAAATATATATATATATATATTGACAAGATTATATTATGTAAAAAGAAAAAAAAACTATTAGATAGATAATATTCAAAACATATTATAAGAATTTAATTATTATATAAATAACTTTTATATTTGCAATTATATGTTACCGTAAGCACTAGGAAAAATAAATAAAATTTCAAAAGGCACAAACGATATGAAACGTTTGTGTGATTGTTGTTAAACACTAAAATTGTATATGTATAAAAACATAATATTTACATAATGTATAAGAAAATTAATTATATTACAACTAATTATGTCTATAAAAAAATACTTGCACATACGTGAGGACCAAAAATAAAAATTAAATAAATTACTATATATTTTAACCATTTATTTAGTTAACATATTTACATTTTTTTATTTAAAGAAATATTTTAAAATCTTAGTTATTATTTTTTATCTTTATTTTCTATTGAAATATAATATTTTTATATTTAATTGATTGTTATTTTTAATTATCAAATGCATAATTAATCATATACAAATAAAACATCTTTAATACTATATTAATCATAATTGAACATATAAAATGTTTTATAGCATGCACACGATGCAGGCCAATCATCTAGTATCCATATAAAAATAAAGAGATTATTATAATTTCTTCTGGTCCAATAATCCGGAAAAAAATTACAGATCTATATACCTTCCGAAATTTCTTGGTTAACTAAAAGAACCATTTGGAAAATTTCTTTACAAAACACCATAAAAGTTCCAAATTGTGTTTATGTAGCTCTTTAGCTGTTATTGCCACATAGGCGTGGACAAAAAGCACTTCCGTAGTAGCCTTCGGGTAATGGAGGCTCCATAGTGTAGCCGATACCGTGGGCTATTGCGTTTTCCCTGAGACTATCTTAAGTATCGCTTGACAAAGTTGAGTCAATCACAAACGGTGTGAGAATGAGCCATTCCAATAGTCATTCTTCCAGAACCAAACATCGTATAAGGCACAAGTTTGGTAGGCTTTGGATCCAAGTCATCAGTGCCCTCCAAATAGTTGAGAGAAGATAGTCCACGAGGCCGTTGCCTACTCCATCTCCGGCTTTGCAATTTAGCTAAAGTCTCTGGTCGTTGGTCCGCTAGAGAAAAGGTTTCCAGCGAGAGGGTAGCGATATATAATAGACAAGGGCATTAGAGAGAGCATGTTGAACAAGAGTAGCCTGATCATGGCTGGCGTGATCGTGAAGGTAGGGTTTTGGAGCGAAGACGCTTATGGTTTTGAGTGTATATGGATTCATTGTTAGGACCGTTGTTGAAGGTAGAGAGAGACAAGGCGACATGAATTGTTTCTGCTTGACATGTTTGGGTGTGTATATGAATGACAAGTGATCTTATTAGCTGATTCTAATATATGCATGTTTTATGAAGTTAAAACCAATTCGAAATTCTTTCGTAAATTTACCGAGTGGGTTTATCTAGAGAAAGTAGTTAACTTTGATACTAAGTCTAGTAAGCACCTTCGTTTAAGAAAGTTAATGCTTAATGCTCAACCACTAACCTCTTTCTCTGCCGGAGCACGACCTCATTATTTATATTTGTTTTGGGTTCCGATTTTTTTTTTCTTTACTTTTTTAATTTGCTCTTCTAAAAGATTCAAGTTGGATTCTTTTTTATTTTGCCATGGTGTGTGGCGGTAAAATGAACGAGTCAGTTTAATGCAAAACATTTAACAAAAATATAAATATGTGTGACTCCGTGAGATCCGACTTTGAAGATGCCCAGACGTACGGTATATCGAAACTACAAATCATATGACTTATTATATATGGATTAATTGGGTTAACCTCTAACTCTTCAGAAAAATAATATGAATAGGCATGTAGATGAATGAATTAATTAAAATTATAGAAATAACATAGGTTGGCTAATTCAAAATTTGGGTTGAATTGTGTAATTAGCTTTGTGTTGCGTTTGGTTTAATTACTTTACTTGAGTTTAGAAAATCTTGTACCAAATTAAAACCAAAGAAATTTTGGATAAGTTCTTTAAGTTTTGAGTTAGGTTTAAACTGTTTGGGTTGTCATACTCATATATATATAGTTGAACCATTAGAATAACATGATCAAATACATAATGACTAATAGAATTATAAAATGTAACTAAAAACTAAAACTGTATATATATAACATTCACAAAGCTAATAATATAAATTGTGAAACATAGGGTAAAGTCACAATGTTTGTATGATTATGAGACGTGTACAATAGAAGAATGTGTATTGCTTTTTCTCATTTTTTTAGTGACGAATGAAGTCTGGCTATCCAAGATCATCGAAGTCTACAACCTCATGACCACTTGGTTAAAAACAATGTTTTTAATCTTTAGCGACGTGTTTCTAAATTATGTAAAAAAAATAAGAAGAATTAAAGTCGATGTTAATTGAATATTTCCGACATTTTAGCCGGAAGATGGTTCAGAGCAGCAAATGGGACAAATCTTCTTCGTCTGAAGCCATTGGGTTATACATTCAGAGTGGTATGGATGATTACAAAGTCGGAGAACGACCAACGATTCTCCTTCTTCAAACTCCATTTGGCAAACCACACAACGATCAATCTCGTTTTTATTATGTGAGAAA